ACATAATGTAAGAACACATTATAATTACTTGCATGCATTAGACCGTATGTGAATCAATTATCATATTCCTCATCTCCACATAAAGGCTTAATATGGGAACCACCTGGTTTAAGTATGAAATGGCTTTATACATTTATAAGCAAACAATTTATACTATTGTTTGCAAATTTAAGTGAAATGAAGAAAAAAAATGAAAAGAAAAATACAGACCTGTTTAACATAAAGGTTGTTTCAGAATACATGTACACTGTATGTGTTTTTGATTGATTCCTACATGGCATCAATCAAATGAGAAATGCCTGTACCTTACTCAACACACCAAAGACATGACCTACAACCCTGCTCTCATATCCTGCAGTGCTGAAAAATGTTAATTGAAACTTGACTACATACCTGCTGTGAGCTATGTTTTCTCTCCCACCAAACCAGCCCCTCAGTTCAGATAGAAACCCAACTCTGTTGCCATTGATTTAGTTTTCCTTCATAACCCTCAAGACTAGGAATTACAGGGTGCTACAAGAATTTTTTTCACCACTTGCCCTGTCGGGCAAGTGGGTTTTCAATTTACTTGCCCAAACAATATTTCCACTTGCCCAAAACTTTTTGTTTACTAGCACAATCGAGAAAAAACAGCTGATCAACGCACGTGTGTGTCTGTGCAAGCCGCTGTCATTTGGAAACGTAGGCTAATTTTCAGCTGTTAATAATTTGGGTCAACTCTTCCATCAAGAAACGTCATGTAAATAATGGGTAATCAACTATTTTAAATAAAGTACGGACATTTTTATTTCATCATTCACTGCTATAAATATCATGCCAAAATTTGTAAATTCTTACTAAATAATAATATTGAAGATATTTTACGATAAATCTCGGATAAGTATGCGAAAACTAGACTAAACAACGTCGCTAAAACCATGAAAACAAAACAACAACGGCTTATATTCTGGGGGTCTCGATACTATTATCAAAATGACTCGCTCGGTCGGATCTTGAGACCGCAGTAATAAATTGAAAACGAGACAAAAACATTCATCTGATTTATATGAGCAGCGAGTTTTAAATAATATGTTCACAATCATTAACAGTCATTATGAATAAATATCAAACATTTGACTTTTTGTACTTACTAGAAAATCCCTGTTGTTTATTCCATTCCGATTCGCACATGTTCATTTCCCTAGAATAATGACGTCATATTTGGCGTGATTCAACCAATCGGCAATCAGAGAATAGCAAAGGCCTGTCGGTGCGGCCTGCAGAGCTAGAGAGAGAGAGCGCGAATAAGCTCGCAGCTGGTACGATCGCGCTAGCTGTCTCTAGCTAGCTCACGGCCGGCCGTGCGTGGAGGCGGAGCGGCATTCATGGCTTGAAGTGTCACTGTTGCATGCACGCTGAGCTAGCTGAGCTGGCTAGCTGTCTGTGAAGTTTTTTCGAAATCGGAACGATCGCTTTTTTGCTTCTGGATTTTGACGACGGGTAAGAAGTTGACGGGTGAATGGTAGAGTTCTTGGACACTAGGAAATTACTGTAAAAGTATCACTTGCCCGAATCGGGCAAGTGATAATTTGATTTACTTGCCCGACGGCTCAATTTGGTTGCCCCGGGACGTCGGGCAAGCGGGTTTGTCGCGCCCTGAATTATAGAAACAAGTGGTTTTGTTTCCTGTCATTCTCTTGAAAGTGTTGAAAACATAAGGTGCTTACTGGACATGTACAGTATGTTTAAAAGATTTTTTGACGGCTAATCAAATACATGTAAATGTACATGGATTGTAGGAGTATGATTTTTACATCAATGTTCCTTTATTTGTTTGCCATCCGTTGTTGACACTGTTGATAAAATGAGATATTTTCCAGATATTTTCAACTTATTTGAGACTTTAAACAACAAAACAAAACTCACAAACATAAATGTCCCTTATATATTTTGTATGATATCTATAAAAGTATGGCAATTGGCATATTTTTGTTGTTATTATTTAATGGTTTAAATTTTTGCAACCCTTGACAGCCTTGTAAGAATAATCTTTGACATTGATTTCATTTTAAATTGTCGCCTTGACTCATCTACATGTAACGTAAATGACTAGGAGTCACTGCAAACAGTGATGTGGTTGAGTAGTTCTAATATGATAAATCTGGTAACTCATCCTAAGTAATCAAATCAATTTACCTCGTCAAATCCTCAAATTCACTGCATTTATTAAATTTACAGTCTGTCTGGCTGAATCATGATTGATTTTACTATTAGTGTCAGCCTATCAGGGTCCATTAGAATCTGTCACCACTGGTATCGACTTCATGAATCACACAATGCTGCTAAACAAATCTTTTACATACATGTGTATGAAATCTTCCTATAGTGTTATTCATTTCCAAGTTGTAGGCATCAAGGCATAAGCTACAATGTATGAATGAATGAAAGAAAATATAATTTTGGAATTTGTCAGACTTGTTCTCAAAATACTGGGGCACCAAATTTGAGTCCAAAATCATAATAAAATTAACGTTACAATTTGAAAATCACATCATCAATGAGTATGGAACAAGAACAACTCTCCTCTTGAATGAAATTCTCATAGACTCTTTGCTCAGCTCACTGAAAACATGGTGATGTCATTATTACTAGCGACACTGATGGCATTTTTTGACATTTGATTTTTACTGTACACTACTAAATTGAGGAAGTTGTTTCCATGGTAATTATGTGTTCTTACGATGAAGCTCTTTACCGTCAACGTTGCTGTGTAACCTAGACCCACTTACATGTAAATCAAATTGGTAATTATTCTGTTGTATATGTACTGGTACATGTATGTTTTTTTTTTATTGAGAATGAAATGAAAGACTTTTACTATTACATGTATTAATAGTTTCAGAGTTGCCTAATTATGTAATTATGCAGGTTGCATTGTGTATGAATAATATGTTTTTGTGTAGATTTTAGCATACAAATGATTAGACTATAAACCATGGACATGTTAAAAAAATATGATTTTATGCAACTTTTAAGATTCCTACATGTAGCTTCACCAAACCAAAAATACATCTATCTTTTTTAATGTTTTTGGTAGTAAATATAGAATGGGGACATGGAGGGGAACAAAAATTAGATACATATATATGCATATGTGTGATACCAGTTTCTTTTTTTCTCTTGACAACAAAAATGTGCCTACATTTATATAAGAAAAACAATTATAGCTGTTCTCCCCCCCCCCTCTCTCTCTCTCACTCTCTCTGTCATTCATTATGACATGTGAAATCAGTCTACAGTTACTGTACCACAGTACTCATATCTGCATATGAAATAGTTCACCATAATTGACTGTCTTTGTTTTTTCGATGCAAAATGAATTACAAAAAAAAAACTGTACATGTATGCATGTCAATCAAAGTAGAGTGTTCTAAAAACATGTACCGTAACAACATGTGGATCACCATGCAAGCTCTCCATCTCATAGTAATCTATGAAGATGTAACACTGGGCCTAAGTGGTTGGCATCCATGTGAGAATGAATATTTGCTCCTTTTATTGTTATCAGATACCAGATGAATACTGTTACCATGGTAACTACGGCTGCAGATGTCTGATAATAGGAGTACCGTTGTCGTCGACAGTCTCGAATCCAAACATAAGAACGTGTCGTGTGTTGAGAACCAGAAGAGTGTCAATACGAGTTTACGCCCTTCTATTTCTGAGCAGATAATGTGTGGTTCAGGCAGTTGTAACCTTATACAGCAGGAAGATGTGACTTGCATGTATGTATCACCTGATTGCTTTAACACAGTAGAAACCATTAAACATAAATAGTACACTGGATAGGAGAAGATTTACATGAAGCTCTGCTTGGGAAGCTCCGAAAGACCTCCAGTAATAAAATCAATAAAGAAATTTAGAAATCACATACAATAATGTTGCAAAAAAATTCACTCTTCCAACAATTTGGCAGATGCAAATAGTTTTAATGAAAACAAATATAATTTTGCGTTGGACGGGAGTAGAGATGCCTTGCCTGAGAGACGCAATTCACAATTTGTCTGTTGAAAGCCAGAAGGGTATTATTTCATCCAAATAGCTCTCGGCAGAAATGTTATGATTAAAAGATATGAATGCGGTGAGAAGAATAATATTTAATGAATGGACAAATTATTAATAATCAATGTAGGATAAAGATTGAATGTACACGTAGGGAGGAATGAAAGCAGCAAGTATAGATAAATTAAAGAAGTTAATGAAGAAAGAAAGGGAAATTAAGTTAGAGAACAAATTCACATTATCTTCCAAAGAATATTTTTTTCCTTTCTGGCTCTTGCAACTGACAAGTCTATCCACTTAAAGGTTAACTTGAAAGAAAATCAATACTGTAATAATCTAGGATACACATCTATGTGTCATTCCTTAGCAGTTAGCTCATCTTTCCTGCTCTAATGTGTTACCACTCTATAAATATGCTCCGATTGCTCGCTGTCTTTTCGTTTGCCTGCTATGTTTTCAAACGTTTGTACATGGTCCAGGCTTGTCTGCCTTTTCAGACCCATTGTCACTTTTAATTTAGAACGTCACTTTCAGGAGAATATTTGTGTTACGGGAAACCTGAATGAATTTATCAGTCTGCAAGAGGATCCCCTTCTTTACACGAAAGTCATTCCAGACCCCCTTGAATGTGATATCTATAGTAGATCATGATGTCGATGAAGGGAAGAAGGTCTAGATGTGTAGACTAGTTCAAGACTGTGTGTAAATCTTGCCTTGGGGGCAATTAATCTCTTCCACCCTTAACGCCTCTGGAGCTCGATCCGTATGGCTTTCCTCCTTTCCTCCGCGATTTTGCGGCTGTCAAGATCGTTTCTCTCCTGCCTGGTGGTGAGGGGCTGTGCATTGGAGAGTTCTCACATCGGTGTCGTGTATTGATGGGATGGTGGTTGAAGCAATTTTGATGCAAGGTTGCGTTGCTACTTGCTAGGTCATTTTATTGTCATCTTCTGATAAGTGATATCCAGGTAGATGTTGCTAAGATACAGTATGTAAAGCTTCATTTGAGCAACTGAACCTGGATCTTTATTATTTTGTTTGCTGTTTGCATTGATCGCTGAACACTGTAAGTATAAGAGTCATAAATCTCATTCCTCTTGATTGTACGTAGATGTACATGAGCGGTGCCTTTGATGGATATTTGCTTCTTGTTAGGCTACTTCTTGTATTAAACTGCAAATGATAAATGACATTATTTATTGTAATTTTGACTGGAACTCGCATAGCTGTGGCTTTAAGGGAAACATGTAATTCTTCTTTATTTTACTATACTATACTTTACTTTATATTATACTATTGTACTGTATACTGTATTTCCTATACTATACTGAAGTAGTCAATACATACATGTGAGTAGCCAAGACTTACATGTACTTCACTAAGATAATGACTCCATCATGTTAGAATGACTTTTTAATATTTAAAGGAATATACACTTTGTCTGTCAATGATCCAGATGATTATTATAATACAGTGACACATGTCTAAAAGACCACCAAGGGAGGCAGAAAGTGTTTTTTACAGGCAGGTGGTCTCAGGCGCGTAGCCAGGGGGGGCGGTGGGGCCGGTCGCCCCCCCAAAAAAAACGCCGGCCAAATAAAAAAGAGAGAGAAAGAGGAGAAAAAAAAAGAGGACGTAGGAAGAAAAAGGGAAAAGGAGTCGAGAACGGTACAACGAATCATCAAAGCTTCCGCGCTTCGCGCGTGAAGGGGGAACTGAGTTCAAATTTAGGATTAAGAGTCGGGAAATTATAGGTACAACGAATCGTCACTTTTCTCTGATATTTTGATGAAACGTCAAAGCTTCGCGCGAGAGGGGGGAGGGACTGAATTCAGACAAGGATTATGATTCGAGAAAGGTACAACGAATCGTCTTCTTTCAAAGCTTCCGCGCTTCGCACCTGCACCCACCCCCCTAGGGAGCGCGTTTCGCGCGCTCTGTAAGTGTTTCGCGTGTTCATTACCGCCCCCCCCCCAAAATGAAATCCTGGCTACGCGCTTGGGTGTTCTTTATGTACAGGTTCCTTTAGTACATGTTTCAATGAGAAACTATTTTCAAGGGAAGAAAAAATGTGGTGTTTGTAGATATGTGGTCACTAAAGCAGGTTTAGCTGTTCATACCACCCTCTTTTTGTTTTGCTTTGCATGTTTATGCTGCAGTGAATTTCCTTATTTCTATTTATAGTATTCACACAATGTACGTGCATTCATTGGAATAGCATTCTTTTCTCTAATAATCTGAGGAATGATTAGATGCACTTGAAATGATCAACTCCATGTAAATGATATCAAATACTGTTTTGCTGCTCAAGGGGATTAATATATTTTTCATGCATTTCAGATCAAATTTCTGCCGACTCTTTCTTGCTCATATGAGACTCCCCTCTTGATTGAACAGTTGTTGCCAATTTGATGGATGGCATAACGGTTTGCACAAAAGGCCAAGTGCTCCACGGAGAGTAATATGCCCTATTAAAGAACAGCTTGATATGTGAGGGGAAGAATGCATGTATAATTGCATTGCTCATGTATAATTGCATCGCTCATGTATAATTGCATTGCTTGCTGAGCCACTTCCCCTTAAGAGCAAATGTCTTGAAGGGAAAATATTCAACCTTATTCCTGTGAAGTCAAAGATAATTGTTAAAAGGTCTTTTTGTTTAAACCCCCTGTGAATGTGACACTGTGCAACTAACAATAAAAGAGGATTACTCATTTTTGTTTGAGTCAGTGGTTGATACTCATTACTGACACAAAACTGTACTTTTCTTCGAATTGTGCTCATTTGAAATTGTTTTGCGAAAGTACACATGTTCTGCAAATGTCATACGTGATGAGTCTGAGCTACGTGAAAGCTTTGCTAATAATTAATATTGAACAGAAATTATTTGCGGTCCTTTAATGTTGCACTGAGAGACGAATGGATGTAATTACTGTAACTACGTAATCAAGGTAATTTCAAACATTGTAAATTAGCCTTTACAGATACTCATCACATCCCATTTGTCAAACTCTGCATCGTGAACAGAGAGCAATGATTGATTGATTTCAGTATTACCAATACATGGAGGCGACATGCATATAGCATTGTGAATTATTGAAGAAACAAGCTGCTAGAGTGTATCCAATTACCCATGCTACAGGCCCCTACATCAAATTAAGAAAAATAATCAGCTGAAGAGGAACGGGCTGAAGCTTTTGTATTGCAGAAAGCATGCATCATACTGTTATTGTAATGTCCATGTATGTACATCGTCTTGTTTCTTTTATCCTCAGAATTGATCTGCATTTATGCTTGAGTGAAGAATCAATGAATTATTTGTGTGTAACAAGCTAATCACTTAAATATATAAAATCAATTAGACTCAGGTACAGATGTAAGTTAATACAATGTACGCAGTACGTAATTTGATGAATCAAAGAGTTACAGAGGACATGCATGATAAAGATTACATACAAGTAAACTAAATGTGAAGAGATAATAGAGAAAACTTAGTACCATATCAAAAATATCAGACAAATGTGTTCATGTATACAGACACCTGAATATCATCTTATATGTAAATTATGTAATGTACAGGTGTATACAATACATGTGGCACTATATTTGATTAAGCAAATGATAAAAAAGGACAGTTTTGTGGATTTTTGTTGTATTTTATTCTTGTTTTGACCTTTTTTGTGTGCAGACTCTTACTGGTTCTGAGAGGTCCTTTTGAATGACTCTTCTTAATGAAACAGAGAGAGAGAATGACATCATGCCTGCTACAGACGGTTCATCAGAATCTGGTCAAGGTAAATGTACTTTCTTTTCATCTGTTTGTTTATTTGTTTGTGTGTTTGAATAAATAGTTGTTTGTTTGTCTAAACAAGGAAATGGAGAGAGAGAGAGAGAGAGAGAGAGAGAGAGAGAGAGAGCATGGTAGTAGACAGATATCCATAATCTCCAGGAAATTAATGTTTCTAAATGTTTCTGTCATTATTATTTATCTGTTTTTTGATTTGTAGAATTGCATTATTACCCATTTTTATGAAATTCTGACTGATAAGATTTAAGTTGGAATTTTATAGTGAACAAGCTCATGTTGAAAAAATAGCATCCATGGACTTAAGTACACAGTAGATGTACACAGTTTATTAAGTTATACTGCTAGTGAAATAAGCAACGTCAAATATTATTGGAAGCAAGGAATATATTTTCTGAAAATATGGAATATATTGTGGTTGAGGGGGTATTGGATGACAAACAATCCAGCTTAGAGTCCTGTACGTGGTGAAGTTCATCCATATTAATGGACCGTCTCTCCCACTTTCTATTTGATTTATATTCATGGTATTCCTTTCATTTCAGCAAGCATGATGAATTTTAAGTTGATCAGAAAGTGTGATGTTGAATGCTGATTGAAGCAGAAATACTGTACTTTCAAGATGGCCTTTAGTTATCTCTTTACATCTCAGTCACATTGCCAAGCATACTATAAACCAACTCCAAAACCAACTGAATCGTGTAGATGTTTGTTCTGAGCTGCCTCTTACTATTTGGGGAAATTTTTTTGTTTTGTTTTGTTGTTGTAGTTGTTGGTCTGATGTCGGTCTATTTGATGCGACGGAGGGATTTAAAATAGATCATTTCATAGTTGATGCCAAGATATGAGATTCAAGTTTTATATTTCAAAATAATACTTGAACCTTGTTTTCAATCGAATCTTCATGAAAACAATGATTAAACTGGAAAGTCACCTCTGCTTCTCTAATAATTAATTTCATGGAATATTTGCTGGAAGATTATGATCTTCTATGTATTTTTTTCTCTTCTCCAATTCACAGAGGCGATAGATGCAATGGTAGATAGCCTGGATATGCTGGGAAACTCTACTCATGCACAGAGTGTTGATTTACTCTTCCTTAAAGAAGTCATGAAAAGCAGACTTATGAAGAATCTTATCAAGGTAGGCACACACGATCATTTTTTCCACCTATGTAGAAAAAAATAATTGTTTCCTCTTAATTCATACATGTAGGATTTGAGTGACATGTACCATTTTAAAAACTGAAACTTTTTTTTTTTTTGGGGGGGGGGGGGTATTCATGTATTTTACAATTTTATCTCCTACAGCTTCCTTTCCAGCGTGCTAAAACAGAATTATATATTGTCAGTCAAAAGTTAGAATGGCGTTAGCATTCAGCCCTTTCCTATAAGACCCCAAGGTTCTCATCAGACAATGCTGCTTTCTTCACCTATTAGTCTCTCTTGAATCTTATATCTGAAGCATTTTCAACCCTATCGTGAATTCCTTAATTCAAAGATTTCTTATCAATTCTAGATTGTATGATGAGTGAACTTCAAGATGTACCAAGCATGGTGCTTGTAAAAGTCATTTTATGTGATACATAATGAAAGGTGATGGCTCTGTATCTACAACCCCACAACATTCATGTATATACGTAAGACAAAATTGTCTATGTTGAGACATATTTTGTCCTGAATTGAATCTTTTCTATCTGCAGGTTAAAATGTACATGATATACATGTATGAAGCCTGTTTTCAAGATATTTTCTACTCTAGAACACAGCATTGGGTTGGTCATAGTTCCTTTTATATATAGATTTCTGGTATCTGGAAATGTTTTAGAGCTTGCCACAGCTAGATATTTTACAGCTACTCTGTAGTTTATTTCTTACTCATCTTGTTCATCTAACTAATCTTTATGGGTAGCCCAAGAGACTGTACATGATCCACGTGCACTACATGTTGCCGTGAGGTGTGTGTATCATCATGGACCTCATCAATGCTATTAACTACTAGCTTTCTATTTTGAGAGGCACTGGTTCAAAGAGCTAGCGCCACTGTTATTCCACACCTCCTCGTAAACACTCCAGGCAAAGTAGTTCTATCTTACCAGCCCCCTGAATATTATCATGCCATTTGTAATGTTGTTATGTGATGTGTCCATCCTCCCAGTAGATATCATTTACATGTAGCTCTCGATAAAGGATCCTGAATTCCTTTCACGTAAGGAAATCTTGGTGAGGAAGATCGTTTTCAAAGAAGACCTGCCATCTTAGGTGCATGTGTACCTGTAACGTATTGATAATTGTTACATGCAGTAGTACAGTAATAGTAGTTCAAAGAGTCATCCACTTTGCAAAGTCACAATATACATCCAAAGTATCGTCAACAGAAGAAAGGAGAGAAAAACATGTTGACAGTTCCTTTTGAAATATAATTAATGTGTAGATAATTATGTAATAATTTCAGCATTTTTCATACTGCCCTTCTCCTGCTCAAAATAGCCTGACATACAGTAGTTGTCCAATTAGTTGTGCTAATCAGGCGGTGAGCTCCGGTGCAATTATCTCACAATTTTGTTTTGACGTGACCTTGCTTTTATGTTGAATAAACACATTGACTGTTTACTTGAAACCGCTGGGAAAGTGTCGCAGCAAACCTGCCAAAAAATTTGGCATATATATGACAATGAATCTTAAAGGCATCATTTAACAATGTTAAATTTGAGATGCAATGCCATACGTATTATCGGTGTCTGTGATATGGAGTAATATTGAAGCCCCCCAAAAAAATTGTGCTTCAAAATGATCAAGAAGTGCCTCGATGACCTTTAAATATTCAAAACGATTTTAATGCTTTCAGCGAGATAATTGCACTGGAGCGCACAACATTGCAGCAATAACAAATCTTCATTTTTTATTGCAATTTGATACAAAATTTACAGTGCAATATATCGCCATTATCTAAAGCAAATAAAGTGTCATATGATCTGTCCATGTACATGTAGTTGTAGATTACTTTGCAAATTGATTTCACACCCATTAACATTGACATTGAATTGCTCCATTAAGCAAAGCCAATTCATTGTTTCATGGGGAATATGCTGATTAGATTAGTTGATTACATTGCACTGTTGATGTTTTATACCTAATTTAGTCATCAATCCTAGTTTTAATGCTAACATTAGCTAGAATGTCTCACCATGATACATGTACCGGTTGGTGGTTTGCATTTTGAACCTTTTCTTTCTTTCTTTTTTTTGTTTGGGGGGGGGGGGGTTGTGGGACTGATAAACAATCATTTCCTTTCACTAAGAATCAAGATTTTATTTATTCATTACTTTTTTGAAACATTTATTACCAACATCTCCACCATGTACATAATTATATGCAACACATTCAGTTAATACATTTTCCAAATGGGTAAAATTTCTTACGCCATCCATAATTTTATAGAAATAAAGATATAACACCAATTGAGTATTCCCTCCCATCTGATGGGTGTATTCAGCATTATTTCTCTGGACTTTATTTGATGGCAAGTTATTATAATATATTTCAAGCTTAGTTACATGTACATGTATGATGTGACAGTGAAACTTGGAAAGCAGTTTTGTTAAACTGAATGTACATACATGTACCTACCCTCTATTTTAAATAAAACTTGAATAAATAAATAAATAATAAATGAAAGGAATCTTGGTCTTTGTGATGTACATTGGAAGAGAACTGGGAATGTTCTATAGATCTTTACTACATGTACATGTACATGTACATGGAGATGTACTTGTATTCCATCGGCATGCAGATTAAATGATTCAGTACATGAAGGTATATTTCTGCTCTATCCATCCTAACCCAATCAATTACACCCGATTGAATTGATTCCATTTTTATGCCGTTGCCTTGGCTACCAAACAATTGCCAGCCTCTTACGTCAAATGATTATATTAGTTTCTCATGTCGAAGCTGTCTTTCTTTCTTTCTTTCTTTTTTTTTTTCTTTCTTTCTTCACAAAGCCTGTAAAGCTCATTATTTTACTGATGCACATTTTTTGTATCTGGAATAAAGTGTTAGATAAGTACACATAGATGTGCACGTATACTTTAAATATAAAATTATTTTACAAACAACCATGACTTCAAGAACTAAACAGATAGATTTGGATAAATGTTGCACTCTGACCCGAAGACAAGAAGACCAGAAGATACCACGATTAAAGGATAAGTACCAAGAAATGTGTTCACACAAAATATTTCACAGACATTATGTTTTCTGTTTTCCTCTATTTTTCTCTTTAAAATGTCTCTTTTTTTGTGTTTATCCTGTCTGTGCTCCCTAGTTTTCTTGCTCTCTCTTTCTCTTGCTTTCTCTTTTTTATGCATCACTTCTCTTTCTCCTCGTCTCCTATCTTCTCTTTTGTCTTTTCTCTTCTACATGTTTCTTCTCTCTCTTCTACAGTTTGTATATCTTCTCCCTATCACTAGTCTTTCTGTCCTCTTTAATATCTCTCTCTCTCTCTCTCTCTCTCTCTCTCTCTCTCTCTCTCTTTGGCCCTCATTCTCTCACTCCTTGCTTTTCATATTAATGAGAGTTAAGGAATACCTGTACTGTTCTACAGTTTGTATTTTCCCCCTATCACTAGTCTTTCTGTCCTCTTTAATCTCTCTCTCTCTCTCTCTCTCTCTCTCTCTCTCTCTCTCTCTCTCTCTCTTGGTCCTCATTCTCTCACTCTATGTTTTTCATCTTAAAGAGAGGGAATACCTGTACTGTTCTACAGTTTGTATTTTCCCCCTATCACTAGTCTTTCTGTCCTCTTTAATCTCTCTCTCTCTCTCTCTCTCTCTCTCTCTCTCTCTCTCTCTTTGGTCCTCATTCTCTCACTCTATGTTTTTCATCTTAAAGAGAGGGAATACCTGTACTGTTCTACAGTTTGTATTTTCCCCCTATCACTAGTCTTTCTGTCCTCTTTAATCTTTTTCTCTCTCTCTCTCTCTGGCCCTCCCTCTCTCCCTCTGGCCCTCCCTCTCTCCCTCTCTCTCTCTCTCCCTCTCTCCCTCTCTCTCTCTCTCTGGCCCTCCCTCTCTCCCTCTGGCCCTCCCTCTCTCCCTCTCTCTCTCTCTCCCTCTCTCCCTCTCTCTCTCTCTCTGGCCCTCCCTCTCTCTCTCCCTCTCTCACCCCATGATTTTCATGGTCAAGAAAGTGAAGGAATACTTGTATACATCTCCTGAATGTTCAGTGGATGAATTAATTCTCACAGAGTAGATAGGTAGGTTTTGTTTTAGCATCCAATGATTGCTCAGTCTCACTCACAAGTGTTTACTTCATCCATCACTGACTCTCTGTCAGGCTTCAAGATCAAGAGTGCATCTTGTTTAAATCATTCTAAACATACTGTTACAGGTCGTTCACACAAGCAAAGTCATGCAAACAAACATACTCTGTAGATTAAAAGAAATGAAGTTCCATCATTCTAAACATACTGTTACAGGCTGTTCACACAAGAGCAACTTCATGCAAACAAACATACTCTGTAGATTAAAAGAAATGAAGTTCCATCATTTTAAACATACATGTACTGTTACAGGCTGTTCACACAAGAGCAACTTCATGCAAACAAACATACTCTGTAGATTAAAAGAAATGAAGTTTCATCATTCTAAACATCTTGTTACAGGCTGTTCACACAAGAGCAACTTAATGCAAACAAACATACTCTGTAGATTAAAAGAAATGAAGTTTCATCATTCTAAACATCTTGTTACAGGCTGTTCACACAAGAGCAACTTAATGCAAACAAAAATACTCTGTAGATTAAAAGAATTGCCTTTAAAAAAAATCATATACAGAAGTATCTGGAGGGCTTAAACCATTGCTCAAGCATGAAAAATTTGTGGCTGGCCAGTCATATTAGCATGCTAACAAGCGTTGCCTAGTAACGTACAGGTGTAACTATTGAAATCACTGACATAGACATAATATTCAACTGACCTTGATTCTTTAATGCATTTTTTCCAAAAATGATACTGGACCTCCTTTTATTAAACTACAATACATTGATAAACAAGGATTCATTATTCATCATTGAGAAGAGGAAAAATAAACTGTGTGCACTTTTTATGTTTTTTCATAGCTCTACAAGAAGTGTTGTTTGTCTGA